TTTTTTTTTTTTTTTTTTTTTTTTTTTTTTTTTTTTTTTTCGTTTTGCATATGCAAATGAAAGGAAGAAAGACAAAGAAGCGCCGCCTTTTCAATTATCCGTTTTTCTTTTTTTTTTTGGGTATTTTCTGTCTTTTTTTTGTTTTCCCTTTCTAGTCTCCTCCTCCTCCCCCCCCCTTCTCCCCCCCTCCTCCCCTTTTCCCTCTTTAGGCAATAGCCGTGTAGAGCTACGGAGCATGCTATTCAACGGGCTTCACTCTCACCTCAGCGCACTTAGCCTATCGGTTAAGCTTCTTCTTGATGAGCACGAACGGTCGCCACCGTCTTCCCCCGAACACAACGCACCCTCATGATGCCTGTACCGGACCGTAAAGATCGCTTCCATACATTCATTATCAGGGTGCATTATGTTCGGGGGAAGGCGGTGGTTCGATTCCTTTGGAGCCAAGCTTGGCCGGCAGTTAGTTCCTATGCATGAGATTAGCACAGTGTTCATTATCAGGGTGCGTTATGTTCGGGGGAAGACGGTAACCAGTGGCCGATTGCTGCAGTGTTGGCTGGGCCGCGCCTTAGTGGGAGCGAGGGTGGGGTATGCTGGGCCGTGCAGAAATCGGTGGCGCGCTGAAGTACTACTCAACGGGCTTCACTTTCACCCCAGCCCTTTTAACCAATTGGTTTGAGTTTCCGCTTTATGAGCGGAAGGGGTTCGCTCGCTAGTTCGATTCCTTTGGAGCAAGCTTGGCGTGAAGGAAGTTCCAATGCATGCATAAATCTCTCTTTGGACCGAAAAAATTAAAAATTCAAAGTTGGATGACGTCATGGTTGAGTCATCCATCCTGATGATTGTTTTTTTTATCCGCTCCGCAGTTATGATTGTGTTCGCATTAACGGCGGCACTCTGTTTCACACTGTTTTTGTTCCATTTCTCGATTTAACCATGACATCATCAAACTTCGTCAGAAGACTAGATGTGGCGGCCAGATATGCAACCTCCTCCTGTTCATGATCATGATTTTTTTTTTTTTTTTAATTAATTTGGACCATTTCTCGATTTATGCGTGTCATCCTTGCGCAGGAGCCATGCTAGTCTTC